CCCCAAAACCCCAAAACCCCAAAACCCCAAAACCCCGTGATCAAATAAATGCAAGCAATTTGGATCAGGGTTGAATAATAATTTTTAGAAAGGGATTTTAAGTAGATCAGCTTATAATAGATATTAATTTTATTTTCTCGTTAATTTATGTCAACCAACAAGACTCCAAACAGAAGAAGTGGCAATTCCCCAACCAAGCAAAGAACTCAAACCCAAGCTCAAGTAGATATAAACACCTCCGACTATGTCGTAGCCGATAAGGAACTTGTAAGAGGCCTTACCGAAAAGGAGGTCGAAAACGAACACTTAAAGACCGTCGTATTCGCTCTTAATGAGAAAGTAGTGGTAAGTATCTTTCAGCAATATCTAAGTGCTGTCCTCTGTTCTCTGAGTTAATCTCGACTGTGTAGGTTATTGAGGACTTGAAGACTGATGTTAACACTCACAAGGACCTATTGAAGCACTCTGAGGGTAAGAGAGGTGAGTTGCAAGTACATATCCAAGAAACTTCTGTTCAGATCAGGATTGACACCGAGAAACACACAACCTATGAGCAAAAGCTCATCGAGGAAACTCAAAAGCTCCAAAATGATATCTAGGCCCTTAAGGCCCATTTAGCTCAAAGAGAAAGAGAACATCTTCAAAAGTTAGAAGAAGTAAATTAAAAACATTCTATTAGGGTTGAGCAATTGAGCAAAGAGCATAGTGATAAGGTGAACTCTCTTAATGATGAACACCACAGAAAAGTAGATTAACTCGAAAAAACTCACCATCAATAGGTCACCTAGTTGAACCACGAGAAAGAGACACTCAGAAAGGAGAAGGACGAGACCATCAGAGCCCTCACTGAGGAGAAGGAAACCCAGAGAGTCTCCTACGAGAGAAGAATCAACGAACTAGACTAACTTATCAAGTGTAAGTATCAATTTAGATAGTTAGACATTTCATTAAGCATAAATATATCTTAATTAAATTGGATGAGATTTTTGCCAAATAATTAGGCTATGACTATGTTTTTATTATTTACACCAATCCCATAAATTGGCAATACCTTACTCATTTCTTATAGAGCAACAAAGAACCATCTTGCAATTGAACTCAACCATCATAGAGCTTAAGGAAATCATCCACAGAAAGGAGGATGTCGAGGACCAACTCGCCAAGGCTCTTGAACAACTAGCTCTTATTGATGCCCAGAAAGTTCAACTCCAGAAGGAACTTGAAACTGCCTCAGACTACATCCTCGAACTTGAGGAGAAAGTCTACAAGGCCAACAAGACCTCTCTTGAGCTACTCAGACAACTCAAGGATGCTGAGGTTGAAATCGAAACACTTAAGAACTACATTATCGAGTTGAAGCAGAGAATCGCTGTCTACATTCCAGTTAAGGATGATGTTATTGACAAGAAACTCGCTGAGTTCATAAACAACTACCCAGAGAGACAAAAGCTCAAGATCATGTTCATGAGAGAGAGCGAGGGTGTCTATCAGTTCGGAAGCAAGAGAGTCGCCGTCAGAGTCGACAAGGACAAGATCAACATCAGAGTCGGAGGAGGTTACCTCTCAATCGACGAGTTCCTTGACTAGTACACTCCAGGCGAACTTGAGAAGGTCGAGAGAAAAGACCCACTCAAGAAGTTCTCTGAGAAGATTGCTATCTAGAAGACCATCGTAGGCAAAGAGCTTAGAGAGAGCTCCCCCATTAGATCTCCAGAGAGAACCAGCTCCCCCAAGAGACAACAATGAGCAAGCGATATAATCATCGCTCAAACATTAAGCAGATGAGACTTATATACCTTACACAGAGGAATGCAGTTTTCTATGATTTGCTCTATTTGATTAAATTTTATTCTAAGAGTAATAAGTTAGCCTATTAAATTTATTATTTAATTGAATATTATTATAACTTAAATAATTTAATGCACTTCATTGATATTAATTCGTGATTAAATCATTCTTTAACAATTAAACCAATATTGGATTGGGTATCATAACATAATTAACATCTTCAAACTTGAACATTTAAATATATACCAGATCATATATTATCTGAATGCATACTGTTTTATTCCTCTTCAATCTTCTCAAGAAGTCCTGCAATTTGACTATCCAATAAGGCAGCAAGTTTTCCTCTCATGTTCATGTCCAAGCCATGATTCAAGGCAAACTTATCGGCAAGACTCTCTGCTGTATCTCCGTCGTATACAACGATACGCTCTGACTTTCCAGGGCCCAGATTCACATCTACGTATAACAAGGGCTATTTAGGAGCTGATGTTAACTTGGACACTATGCTATGATCTGGATCAGTATCAGAGGGCATGCTCTAAAATCCATTACCTTTAAATAACTTTTTATCATCATCATATGATAGATCTATATCAATATGATTTAAATTATGAAAGTTCTTACCACTATTGAGCTAATCTTGAGGAGGCTAGTCACTAAATCTTGAATGCCTGCCATTAGCAATGACTGCTTAATTTGTTTGAAGCACAGGCTTAGTAGTCTAATGTCCAGTAGCTGTATTTGACCTATTTTCATACTTAAGTTGCTTTTCTCCCCCAAAAATTCCACTACTGCCTGCACTACCTGTTGTACCAGCACTATTGCTATTATTCTGATAAGATGCTATTGGACCTCCACTGAGACTGCCATTAGAATTGTTTATATTCTCCTTTTCCTGTTAATTTATTGAATTTTGCTTATTGTGAGTTACTTCATATTTATATTGATTGACCAAGTTTTGTACTCCGTTTGTGTTACTGCTTGTGTAGCTGACATTACTTTATTTTGTGATATTTGCACTTGACACTGTATTGGCTTAATTCAAGATCTGAGTTTTGTTGAAGTTCTAAGCAGCTGACTTGGGTTTCCCAAGTGATTCATTTGACTTTGAATTCTACATTTTCTAATTATTACTACTGTAAGAATGAGTAGTCTAGTTATTAGCAGTGTTTTGATTCTTTACTATATTGTCTGGGTTGTGAGAATAAGTCGAGAAGGCGCCCTTATAGTTTGGATTTGTAGCCATATTGAAAGGTTGAAGCAAGGACTCATCTATAACTGTACCTGGTATACCTCTTTACTGCATAGCTTTCACCTTTTCACGGTCTTCTCTTCCTTTCTTCATTCTATTCATGACCATCTGATAACCTTTGATAGTTGATGTTGGATCCAAGGTAAGATCATCATTGTTAGGCCCAAAAAAGTTAGAGTCTGATATTTTATTGCTTGAAAAGTACAATTAATCCAGTGTCTTCTGAGATTCATCTATATTTGGTTAGAATGTGCATTCCTCAACGCCTTTTTCGTATTCAAAATCATCTCTGGTTTTGTCTCTTTTTTCTCTCATATTTTTTGCTTTCATGTAGAGCTCCATACACTTATCTGTAGTGATCAAGCCACCTCTTGACTTAACAGTATTTCCATCGTAATGAGTTATCTTAGGCTTGAATGTACACTCTTCCATTTCTTTTGCTTCAAGTATTTGCTTGGCTTGCTATCTCCACTGCTGTTGATCAAAGTTAACTGGATGAAGTAGAATTTATACCAGATCAACTCTGTTTGGATCAATCTACTGTTGAGTATTTTATTAATCTTCTCCCCCTTCTTCGCCATCTGTGTATCTGTTCTCTGAAAGTAAACGCATGCGCTTTTACTAGGCTAATTGCTCAGTTACCTTTGAGATTTGTGGACGGAATGTGCATGAATTATCCACATACTTAATCCTTTTAAACTAGCCTTGATAATAAACTCTGTTCACATAAAGTGGCTTGAATCTGATGAAGATTTATCTGCTTTCCTATGGAGAAATTCTTATTATCCCATATTAATCAAAGTTGCTAAGCTACAGATTAGCACCACTGTTATTTTTATCCAATTTACTGTTCAGGTAATTTGAACTGTTTTGCTCAATGCTATCAAGACAGATGCCTTAAATAGATAACAAGAACTTCTTAAGATTTATAATGAAAATGCCATTGTTTTCCTCGCCTTAGAGCAGGTTCCACATGTCAAAGAGCAGCTCTCTTTCTACAGAATCAGGTGCTATGTTTGCTGGGATATATCCTAACTCAGTAACTAGCTAGCCAAGCTTGACATAGTTTATCCTCTTTTCATCATAGTCTCTGAGATTGAAATCTTGACTCTCCTCCTCTCCATTTTTATGCCCAAGTTCATTTAAGACCTAGTGAGTCATAAAGTAAAACTCTTTTTCAAACTTCTATGCTGCGAACTTAGAGTTATTTACACCTGTAGGGGGTCTCGTACTGTTTATCTGCTCTTCTTGCAACTTCATCAGATCTTTCTTCTATTTTAGCTGCTTGTCTTGTCTACGCTTGGCATCTTAATATAGCATTTCGTTGCTTCTAGTCATATTTTAGAAGTTAGCTTCTGACTTATTCTTTTTCAAATGAGTCTTGGACATATTTCTTGTGTTAGCTGTTTGCTCCATAACTCTCTGCATCTATTTTTAGATTTTTTCTTAGTTCAGCTGATGAAGCCGTTCATAAACTGGCTTTTACAGATTTTCAATGCCATTGCTGTTATTAGTCTACACTGGTTGATTGCTGTCTAGAGTTCTAGTCATTTCATCCTTATTGACTTTTTTCTTCATTTCAATCATGCGTGCAGATTTCTTGTTGACTTGAGGTTGAAGTTTTAACTCTTATTCTTATATATGCATATTGATCTCATATCTTTCTTAAATCTTTTTCTTTTTCTATTCCTCAAATTATGCTTGATCTTTGAGAAACTGATCAAAGTTACGCTTTTATTTTTGACTATACGTTTATGGCTTGAAAGTGCATTCCTGCATCTCAGCTTGCTGTTTCATTTCTGCTAGTAATCTATTTTTCTACTATTTATTCTCCAAGCATTGCTGGTTACGTTTATTGAAATTTTCAACAGATAGGAACTATTATGTATACTATGCTTTCTCCAATTCCTCATTGGTAATCAGTATGTTATTGCCTTACTCATCATACACCTTCTTAACAAGCTTGAGATAGGCTTTGTTGAAGTCCTGCTCATTTTCAGGGTCATCACTTTGCTGTGTAGGTGCAGTCTAGTATTGATAGCTATTAGGCAACGCTGCAACATTCAGATTCTAATGCGATTTTGAAGGTTTCATAGCAGTCTGCTGCTAGCTGCTCTTTTGTTGTTATTAAGGCTTTTTCTTATGAGTTTGCTCGTTGGAATTTGGAATCATGTTGTCATGCTGCTGCTATTGATAATAATCTTAATCTTCTACTTCTTCATAGTTAACATCTTCATACTAAAGGTGATCTAATTATCTCTCCTCATAAATGTTATGATTCATTTAGCCTGATGGCAGCAGTATTGAACTCTTCGCTGAACTCTTGGCTTGAGGTCTACTTTGATTGCTTACTATTTTGATTATTAATTGGCATTTGATAATTTGTATGTGAGGAAAATATATTATTTTTATTTTAAGATACGAAACTATCTTTGAAAGTATAATTAGGGTGTAGAGATTAGATACTTACAGTATTGCATTTGATAAGGGGCAGGTTATTCTTAATACTTATTAAATATCTGATTATTTTGCTTGTTATCACTTGGTGGCATAGTTTAGTCCTCTATAGTATGAAACTTAAATATATATTACTTCTGTTTGAGAGCAGAGGGGATCGAACATTTTCTAAATTACTATTTCTAATTGATCCATTATTTTGGCCAGTAGGAGGCAAATACTAATGAGGGGTTGATGATCTATAGTGCTATTAGACTTGAGATTTGCTTCCACTGTTGAGATTGCTACTGATTCCACTGGTCATGTTATTCGAAGTGCTTCCAGGAGCATTATTAAGATTTGGGAACACACATTCATCTGTGTCACCCATATCAAGGTCATCATCGAGGCTAGTGCTGTGATCCTTAATATGTGGTGGAGCATGAAAACTCTGTGCTCCTGAGTGTCTCTAATTCTCACTCATAGGGTTTCTAAATTAATTAGCACCTCCACCTGATTTCGTGGGAATGCCAGTTGAAGATAAGATGTTGTTCTTCATTATTTAAAATTCTACAAATTTAAATTATTGCTATTTCAACAATTCAATTTTTACGGTCAATCTGGGGTTTTGGGGTTTTGGGGGTGGCTTTTTCCATGAGTCGTATTT